ACCAATATCAGCTTCATCCTATAGAATTAGTATTGCCTTGAATTAGTTACACCCCCTCTGCCAGCCCTTTAAAAGGTATGCTTGGTCATTAATGAAGCGGACATGTTCACTGAAACTTGTCTCGGGTGCTTCTTGTCAAAGAACACCATGATCCCACCATGCTGACAGTGCAGGAGCCTCACAGGTCGAAGACACAACAGGCTTCTTAACTATCCTTTCTCTGTCCACTGAAATCCACAACAAGGCACATTGGCATGATAAAGTTCATAAAGAAGATGCCCTATTAGGAAAACACTCAGAAAAATCTATTAAACAATAGCCTCCACGTTGGCCAGGAGTCATTGCCAAAATGAAATTACTTATTACTTTCCAAAGTAACTTGTATCTTTTCAGGACAAACTTGCTATGGCCTTTGCTTTATGCTTTTCAACTTCATACTTTTACAGCTATGACTCTTGTTAAAGACACAGTGCAAACTGATTGGGAACATTAAATGCCGTCAGTATTTTGACCTTTATCATTCTCATATCTTCAATTCCTACAAGAGGAACTCTGAGACCTTCACCACAACATTAACATGACATAAATAATGAAAGATGGCATAACCCTGTTTGACCTATACTTGTACAAATTGTCGTTCAAGGATGATTACTTCATTATGTAAATCAACATTTTACTCCTTATAGTTTATAATTTAAAAAAAAAACCTTTCATGGAGTTGAAGGCTGTTGCTAAGCCAACAAATGAGAAAACTACGTTAGAAAGAATTGGACATTCACGTTTGCAGAGGAACTTTCTCCTTTTTAGGGATGGAAGGAATTTGTAAAGGATATGAGGGACAATTCCTGAGTGACTCGGATCTACTTTCAATTGCTCAGGCTTTTTGAAGTTATTTTGTCTTTCTTTTTTTTTTTTTTTTTTGACTATATGGTGAGATGCTAAATGAAATCAACTCTGAGGCTTCCTGCAGTGTCATCAGATAAGACACTGGGGTAGAGATGTAAAGTTAGCTTCATCCTCACTTTATAGTTTAACTGGAGAAACAAGTATTTAAAAGTAGATCAGAAGATGGATGATACTCAGAGTAATTCTTGGCCAAATAAGAATTCTTTAAAGAAAAAAATATCATCTATAATTAGCAAAAAAAATTTAAAACCTATTTACAAGATTGTATTATCCCAAATAACTTAATGCAATGGATTCTTGTTTATTGCCCTGCTGCAAGTGTTGCTGCCAATCACTCAGTCCTCTCAAAAGGGATTTCCAAAAATCAAATCTGAAATGCTCTCAAAAACTAAAAACCAGAAGCGGGCATATAGTCTAGTGGTTACAATGTCAGTGTTCCACATCTGAGTGCCTGGGTTCCAATTCAGGCTCTGGCCCTGGTCCCAGCTTCCTAAGGCAGATCCTGCGACGTAGCAGTTGATGGCTATGAGTATTTGGGTTGCTGTCACTCTTGTGGGAGACCTGGATTGTTGCAGGCATTTGGAGAAGGAACCAGCAGATGAGAGGTGTGTATGACGGTGAGCAAGTGTGTGTATGTGTTTGTGTGTGTGTGTCTGTCAAATAAAATAAATTAAAAAACACACACACAAGTTTTAGCCTGTTACACATCACTTCACAATACAATGTGTGCCATCTTTGAACCATCTTCATTCGATCAACACTCCCCCAGAATCACAACCTTTACTTTATCAAGGTTTATTTATACTCACCACTTCCTGGTAATTCTAGTTATTTTCCAAATTTGTGATTATTATCAGGAATTAAGCTATGGTTATAAGGGCAAGGCATTCATTGTAGGTATAATATCTCAAGAGATGCAGCAATCAAGATAAATATGAATATGGTAATGCAAAATCTTTAATAATCAAAATCAATGCCAAACATTCATGAAAAGCAAAATACACTGCCATAGTGGTACAGTGAGTTAAGTTACTGCCTACAAAACCAGCATTCCATATAAGCACTGGCTCAAGTCCCAGCTGTTCCACTTCCTATTCAGGTCCTTGCTACTGTGCATGGGAAAGCAGCAGAAGATGGCCCAAGTGCTTGAATTTCAGCCACCCATGTGGGAGAACCTGATGAAGCTCCAGGCTCCTAGCTTCAGCCTGGTCCAGCCCTGGCCATGGCAGTCATCTGAGGAGTGAACTAGCAGAAGAAAGCTTCTCTCTCTCTCTCTCTCTCTTAGTCTCTCTCTCTCAAATGCCTTTCAAATAATAAATAAATCTTAAGGAAAAAAAGAAAATACCAAATTATAAATAAAGACAGAATTGCTTCACTTGGGAAAGGCTTACTTTTACTCAAAGATTACAGGTTACATTTTGAGAAGCCCTTCCTGCCATCCCAGGGCATGGCATGTTTCTCTGCCCTAGGACTCCGCCAATGTTTGACTCCTCTCCAATTTGTGTCATACACATAACTCTCCAGGTGCTCACCTTCTCTGAACTCTAAGACCTTTTAAATCAGTTCTGCAAAGGAAGACCTTTCTCTCTGTCTCTCTCTCTCACTGTCCACTCTGCCTGTCAAAAAAAAAAAAATCAGTTCTGCAGCCCAGGGATTAAAGTTTTAGGAATTCCACAAATATCTGCTGTATGAATAAGTACATGGGTCATGGTAAGGAGTGAGTGAGACACTGAGTTTGAAATCAGAAACGAAAATTTCAATTCTAACTCAACAACTCAAATATTTATCAATTTGATGTGATGAGTAAATTTCTAGAAGGGAAAAACCTTACTTCCCCAGAGCTTTAGGAAGCCATGTATTTATCAAATTTTTTAGAGAGGTCAAAGACAGTATACATTTATTCATTGATCTGAAGTGAAGAAAGAGAAAAAAGAAAATGTGGTTTACACAACAAAAAGTACTCATCTTTGTAAACAAAGGCGGGAAAAGGATTAACTGAACGGACAGGAATTTCAAGTGGTTCAGAATGGCTTCACATAAACTGATAAACTGGGGCTGACCATTAGAGGATGAGACAGGAAATAAAGTAGGCAGAGCGTAGGACAAGAATCTTGTCTGATGTGGCTGGCACTGTGGCACAGTGGGTTAAAGCCCTGGCCTGCAGCACCAGCATCCCATACGGGCACTGGTTAGAGCCCTGGCTGCTCCACTGCGGTTCCAGCTCCCTGCTAAGGCACCTGGGAAAGAAGTGTAGAATGGCCAAGTCCTTGGGCCCCTGCACCTATGCATAAGACCAGGAAGAAGCTCTTGGCTCCTGGCTTCGGATCAGCTCATCTCTAGCCAATTTGGGTCATGAACCAGCATATAAAAGACCTCTCTCTCTCTCTCTCTCTCTCTCTCTCTCCCCCTACCTCTCTCTGTAACTCTGTCTTTCAAATAAATAAAATAACTTTAAAAAAATCTTCTCTGATACTCCATCTAAGAGTCTCAACTCCATGTAGGAATATATGATCAAATGAGTTAACTTTGACTTAACAGGAATGATTTTCTGCCTAAAATTATAAATGGGTTCATGAGCTAAGTTGAGGTTGGTTGTGGAGGGAAAAAAAGGGAATTAAGCTATCATACATTCAAATTTGTGAACTATTGTCTATTTAAACGATACCATAGAATAACACTTTAGTTGAAATTATAGTGATGATTGAAAGAAATAGAGAAATTGATAGAAAGATAGAGAAATTGAATACATAAGATTTAGCAACAGACTCAAAGGAAAAGTAAGATCATTGATGGTGAGGCATTTAGATAAGAAGTATAAGGCATGATGGAGCAAGCATTTAGACTAGCAACTGAGAAGCCTGTGCCCCACAGTGGAGTGCCCGGGTTTGACTTCCTAGTTCAGCACCTGACTCTAGCATCCTGCTAATGCAAAACCCAGACAGAACACAGATGGGATAATGAGGAGTAACTGGAGGTTTAGTGAAGGGACTGTCTACAAAAGTATGAGTAAGATTCAGGAAAAGCAACAAGCACTGATGAAGCACCTCGAGATTTCTAGCAATGGAACGCTATTATGGCCTCTAGTCCTCAAGGGGCAAGGGAGGAAGAAGTTACTGGAGCTCAAAGGAGGCTGTAACTGTAGGCCTAGCTTCAGGAAAGGGCTGCCTCTGCTGCAAGGGAATTGTGACTTTTAGGAAAGTAACTGCTGCCAATCCTTCCTGAAGAGCAGGAACCAAACTCTCCTCCTAGTCTCTGACTTCCTGCTGGGGTACCCCACTGACTAAACTCAAATGGAAAGGCAACAGAGCTCACTTGACTCTGAAGCTAGAGGTCAGCCTGAGAAAAAGAGCAGAGGAGACAGCGCAGTGGAGAAGAGAGCAAATCCAGACCATCCAGTTCCATGATCTCAGAAACCCTTCGTATACATGTCCAACCACCACCCTGTCTGCTCACCTCAGACATACTGCTTTGCACATAGCTGACCCTCAATAAATGCTAGTGAATGAAGGAAAGACGAGTACATATTTTCTTAGCAAAGACTAAAATAAACAGGAAAATTCACAAGAAAGGAGAAGAAAATTCACAAGAAACAAAACACCTCTAATCTCAACTTCTTGGGTCCCCTTACCAGTTTTACAATTCTGTAAAGAATCCTAGGAGAAGAAAAGGTACTAGACGAAAGTAAAGAGAGATATCTGTCACATTCTTCAAGAACCTACATGGGACAGACCCTTTTCTCTAGTCTGTGACACAGCACCACCAAGAAATGATTTTCCAAATTTATTCCTTTCAACATTATGTCCACTGGTCATTTAATGCCAGCCCCCTCTACCCTTGGAATACACTCTCCATTCCTCTTCACTAATTCTTGTGAATATCCTATTCTTGCCAAGAAAAAATGTTTCCTTGTTTCATTTCTCCTCTATATGAATGCACAATGTCAATATTTATTTATTTTATTTTTGTTTTATAACAATCTTTTTGTTTTCCAAGTGTGTTCAGCCTGGAATAGTACCCTGAAGGAGAAGAGGGGAGGGATATAACATATTCAAAATAAATTACATGATAGGTGTTTTATAAATGTCATCTCTTACCTCTTTTTCTTCACAATTATCTGCAATTCAGATTCTGTTAATCTCTGTTCATAGAGGAGGAAACTGAAGACAGCTGATTTTCATGAAGCTACACAGTGAAGACAAAAGAACATGTACCTTATTTTGGGGATGTGGGACAAACACATTTCACAAGAGCCACCTTCTAGCTCCCAGCCCCATCTTTCATCATTTCTGGTAGATCAATGGCCCCAACTCTTTTCAACCACTCTCCACATCCATGGCTCAACTCCTTAACTTTACCAATGAATATTACCAACATAACATAATCAAAAGTTTGGAACGTCCTTGCAACAGTTGGGCTTATCTTTTCCACCCTTTGTTATTTCATGAGACCTCTATCCAAGATGGCCCACTGATCCCAGAAAGAGAATGAGACACAAAGAACAAAGCCAAATCATCGCAGTCAATCCCAACTGACTCCAGACACATGAGTGAGTCAATCTCAACAGAGTCACTCGTTCTAGCCTTGCTGAGATCAGTCAACCCTCTGCTGACCTGTAGATCCATGACTACTCTTTCAAAAGCAGCAACAACAGAACTCCTTTCTGGGCCGGCACTGTGGCATAGCAAGTAAAGCCACTGCCTGAGATGCCATCCCATGTGGATGCCGGCTGGAGTCCCAGTTGCTAACTTCCAATCCAGCTCCTTGCTAATACAACTGAGAAAGCATCAGGAAAATGGCTCAAGAGCTTGGGCTTCTACACCCACTTGGGAGACTGGGAAGAAAATCCTGGCTCCTAGCTTTAGCCTGGCCCAGACTCTGCCATTGTGGCCATTTGGGAGGTGAACCAATGGATGGAAGACCTCTTTCTCTCTCTGTCTCTGTAACTCTGCCATTCAAATAAATAAATCATTTAAAAAATTTAAAAACTCTCATTTCAGCATGTCTGCTCTTTTCCACTATGACATATTATTCCTGGGTGTGATACTAATTTGTGCTCTGAGCTCAGAAACATTGACCTCTTTGAACCTTAATTCTCCATACTAAAAGGAGGGACGAAATTTCTTACACTGGTCCCCCAAATCTTTAAGTTCTAATATTCTACTGTTTTGTTTTAATGCTAGTTAGGGAAGTGTATGTAATACCATTATTTGTGTTTTCTTTCCTATTCTCCCCAAATGATAATGCAATGGTACAGAATAGAATATCATACACAATTTGTTAATTAGCTCATTCATTAAACAAACTTACTATAAGTTGGCCATTGGACCAAGCCTTATCATCAGAAATTTATAATTTATAAATTTATAATTAAGAAAATTAAAAGTTAATTAGGGGTGCTGGCATTGCAGCATAGTGTTGCCAGCAAGGCTGGCATCCCATAATATCACTGGTTCAAGCCTTGAGTGCTCCACTTCCAATCCAGCTTCCTGCTAAAAGCACCCGGGAAGACAGCCGAGGATGGCCCAAGTACTTGGGCCCCTGCCACCCATGTGAAGACCCAAATGGATTTCTAGGCTCATGGCTTCAGCCTGGTCTAGCTCCAGGCATTTCAGCCATTTGGGGAGTGAACCAGTAGATGGAATATTGACCATCTCTCTCTTCCTCCCTCCCTCTCTCTCTCTCTCTCTCTCTCTCTTTCTCTCTCTGTAACTCTACCTTTCAAATCATAAAATTAAAAAGCTTATAAAAAATAAAAAGTTAAAAGTTAATTATGATAAGTAAAATAAAAGCAGTCTCTCATAAAATTTCTGTAACCAAGTGATAGCTTTTACTCAGGTAGAAATTAGAATGTATCCAGGGGGCCAACACTGTGGTATGGTGAGTTAAGCTGCCACCTGCAATGCTGGCATCCCATATTGGCTCTGGTTCATGTCCCAGAGGCTCCACTTCCAATCCAGCTCTCTGCTAATGGCCTGGGAAAGCAGTGGAAGATGTTGCAAGTGTTTGTGCCCCTGCCACCCATGTGGGAGATGCAGATGAAGCTCCTGGCCCTTGGCTTCCACCTGGCTCAGCACTGGATATTGTAGCCATCTGGGAAGTGACCTGGCAGATGAAAGATCTCTGTCTCTGTCTCTCCCTCTCTGTAACTCTGACTTTCAAAATTAATCAATAAATCTTTTTTTAAAAAAAGGATGTTTCCAGGCTTTTTTTTTTTTGGAGAGAATTTTTTATTGCAACAATAAAGAGAATTTAGTGAACAAATAATCACCTTTCAATTACATATCAATTTTACTTCCTGAAAGAACAGTCTGTGCCAGCCTTCCACCCAAGGAGTTCCTTCACATGTGCTCTGTAGATCTATTGAGTTCCCAAAACACCCAATAGTCTTTCTCCAAGTTGGAGTGGGGCCTACGGTGCAGAAGTCACACAGACACACCCCATAATAATGGGCTATTATTATGAGTTGAACTGTATCCCCCGAATAAGAGATAAGTTGGAGTCCTAACCCCAGGAAGCTCAGAATGTTGCCCTATTTGGAATAAGATATTTCCAGAGGGTGGTAAGTTAAAATGAGACCATAAGGAAGGGCTCTAATACAATATTACTGGTATCTTTATAAAAGGGGAAATTTGGGCACAGAGACAGAAATGCCAGAGGGAAGAAGAAGGGAAGAGACCTGGGCCGAAGGCCGCTACCTACAAACCAAGAGAGGTGTGGAACAGAACTTGCCCCAGCCCTCGGAGGAAACCCTGCTGACACTTTGATCCCAACTTGTAGCCTCCAAAACTGAGACAATAAATTCCCGTTGTTGAAGCCACTCAAGTTCTTGTTATAGCAGCCCTCCCAGACTAATACAGGGGTCTCACGTCCACTTATCGGAGCCCCACGAAATCGCATTTCATAAATGAACCAGTTGTAAATGCATAAATTGTCTGTGCCTAACAGTAAGACATTGTGTCTATAATCAAGGAAGGGCACATGTTTCAATAAGAGTGCAGTTTCAGTAGTACTTGAACAATGATTTAAAAATATGATTGTGGTTTTGTGATTGACATTGCACAAAGGAAGGCAATAAATGTCAAGTCAGTGGTCTACTTTTGAAGGATAAGAATTTTCATGTCACCTTAGAAGGGTAATTCTCAACTCACAAGAAGTCAAAACCACAAAACCACTTTGAAATTTCTTCTTCTAATTGTATATTCATTCAATTTGTAATTCTGAAACTGTGGCATATGTGCTGGGGAAGTGAATTGTTAATATGAAAATAGGAATTGCTGTTCTTGAGCAATTCATTTAAATTCTAGCATTGGCAAGACTTTTGTTTTAAAGAGCTTTATCAAAACAAACCCATCAGTTCTGAAATCAGATTTCAGATTGCTAATTTAAATGAAGATCATGTTTGAAATTACTTTCTTCACAACCTCATGAATCCATAAATAATACAGCAAAGCAGATATTTTCTTGCCATCCTCATAACCATTCCATCATTTTCAAATGACTTTAATAATTTGGGCCCTTACTATGTCTTAACTTAAATGCACAGTCTTACTCCAAAAGTTGCTCCTCCCATGGCTTTGCATATTTCTGCTAATGGTAGCACTATTCTTCCAGTTGCCCAGAAGATAACTTAATTATCAAAAATATTCTTCTCTTCCCCCATGTATAGATTTGATATTTGTACATTGACTGGCATGCCACTACTTCCTTTCATTTTCATTTGCCTGTCTCTTACAGCAATCTGCTCAATGTATCCCATTTCCAAAGTTTTCCTCTTCGAGCCAGCCACTTAACTTAATGTTCTTTTTTAGTAAAATGCCATTTAAGCTACTCGCCTACTCAAAATTCGCAAAAGGTTCTCCATTTCTTAATAAAAATATTCAACATTTTATTATTTGAATGGTTATATTTGCCCTTCATTACCCCCTTTTGTTATTTTCTGTTTTCCACATGTACTTAATTTTTCCTTTTTCCACATTTTTCTTCATAATTTTTTTACTTACAATGCCCTTACCTCCTGCCTCTGCCAATCTACCAACTCCGCAAGCCTCACTTCAAAGATAACTTTTTCTTTTTCTGAAATCTGATATAACAACACAATCCACTCCCTCAGCCTTTGAGAACAATGTATTTCTGAATTCAGAATCTTTTTGAGTTTGCAGGTGCACATTCCTTCTTTATTACATAACTTCTCCAGTGATATTGGGTCAATCTCCAAAAAATAAACACATTCGTTTTTCTGTAATAAAATGCATAAATAAAATCACACTAAGTGGGATATAACAAAGTATATAAATGGAACTAAAAATAAAAATTCAGGTGGGCACTTACTGATTAAAACATCCTTGCAACACCCATGTTCCATGTCAGAGTATCTAGGTTTGAGTCCTGGCTTAGCTTCCAATTCCACCTTCCTACTACCACTCACCTTTGGAGATTGTAAGTGATGGTTCAAGTACTTAGGTCCCTGTCATCCACATTGGAAACTTGAACTGCAAACCTGTTTCCTGGTTTCTGCCCGACCTAGCCCTGACTATTGCAGGCATTTGATTTGGGGAATGAACCAGCAGATGGAAGATCTCTCTCTCTCTCTCCCTCTCTCTCTCTCTCTCTCTCTCTCTCTCTCTGCATGTGTGTGTGTGTGTGTGTGTATGTGTATTTTCCTTTCAAATAAATAAATCAATTATTAGAGATGAGTTTGTTTTGCTGCAAATAAACTGAAATCAATGCATAGGTTTTTTTGTGATATGCATTTGCCATTAACTCTTTGAAGACTCCTCATATAAATACTATAGATACCTTTATGTCAATTCAAGTCAAAAATTCCAGTCAAATGAGTTGCTCATAAACTTACTATTAAAACTCATTTGGAGGGCCAGTGTTGTTTCATAGTGTGCAAAGATTCCATCTGTGGCACTGGCATCTCATTTGGGTGCTGGTTTTGATCCTGGCAGCTCCACTTCCAATCCAGCTCCTTGTTAATGACCTGTGAAAGCAACAGAAGATGGCTCAAGTGGTTGGGCCCCTGTCACCCACATGGGAGATCCAGTTGAGGCTCCTGGTTCCTGGCTTCAGTCTGGCTCAGCCCTGGCCATTGAGGAAATATAGGGAGTAAATCAGTAGACAGAAGATCTCTCTTTGCGTGTGTGTGTGTGTGTGTGTGTGTGATTTTCAAATCAATAAATAAATCTTACTTCACAAAACTCATTTGGAAGAGCTTTACAGACTTTTCAATTGTGTTTGTAAGACTGTGTTTTTTTTTTTTTAAAGATTTAACTCATTTATTTGAGAGGTAGAGTTACATACAAAGAGAGGGAGAGACAGAAAGGTCCTCCATCTGCCGGTACACTCCTTAAATGGCTACAATGGCCTGAACTGGGCCAATGCGAAGCCAGGAGCCAGGAACCTGGAACCTCCTCTGGGTCTCCCACATGGGTACAGGGGCCCTAGCACTTGAGTCATCCTACACTGCCCTCACAGGCCACAGCAGAGAGCTGGATCAGAAGAGGAGCAGCTGGGACATGAACAAACACCCACATGGGATGCCAGTGCTGCAGGCAAAGGCCCAAACCACCATGCCACAGTACTGCCCCCAGACTGTGGTATTTTTTGCATACTTAAAATATTTACAGATTTACCAATTTCTACTTGTTTTATATTTGTCTATATGTATCATATAAAAAGAAATTATAATGGGTCCTATACTGTTTTTTTTTTTTTTTTTTGACAGGCAGAGTGGACAGTGAGAGAGAGACAGAGAGAAAGGTCTTCCTTTGCTGTTGGTTCACCCTCCAATGGCCGGCGCATCGCGCTGATCCGAAGCCAGGAGCCAGGTACTTCTCCTGGTCTCCCATGCGGGTGCAGGGCCCAAGGACTTGGGCCATCCTCCACTGCACTCCTGGGCCATAGCAGAGAGCTGGCCTGGAAGAGGGGCAACCGGGACAGAATCCGGCGCCCCGACCGGGACTAGAACCTGGTGTGTTGGCGCCGCAAGGTGGAGGATTAGCTTAGTGAGCCGCTGCGCCAGCCCTGTACTATTCTAAATGTCTTGTATCCATGCATCAATAAGAAACATATGAGGGAAATAGAAACCATTTCAAGAATTTACAACAGAAAAAATAATTCAGAGAATTGATTATTGACTCGATTAATGGATCATTTATGGGAAGAACCAAGAGCTGAAATGGGAAGAGTGAGGTAAGCCTGAGAAGCAGATACAAATGGGCCAGGTGATTTGTAGGAGGCCAGGGGCTAGGGAACCTGAGGGAAGCAAGAAATTTGTGAGCCTGTCCAACAATATGTGTCAGTACCTCAGGTCTTCCCAAGTTGATCAATAGATTTACTACGATCTCACCCAGATCCCAGCAAGTCATTTCATGGATACAGATGAATGGATTCTAAAGTTTATATGTAGAAGCAGAAGATCCATAATAACCAACACAAGATTAAAAGAGAAGAACAAAGTTGGAGGATTGACGCTACCTGACTTCAAGACTTAATTATAAAGCTACAAGAATCAAGATAGTGTCTTCAATAAGTGTTACTAGAACAAATGGACAGTCACATGCAAAAAAAAAATGTAAAACAGATCTTCACAAAATTAACTCAAAATGGATGATAGATCTAAATGTAAAAATGTAAAAACTCCTGGTAGATAATACGGGAGAAAACCTAGATGATCTTGGGTATGGCAATGACTTTTTTACATACAACAGCAAAGACGTAATCCATGAAAGAAAGAACTGATACACTGGATATCATTAAGATTATAAACTTTTTCTCTGTTAAATACAATGCCAAAAAAAATGGGAAGACAAGTCGCAGACTAAAGGAAAATATTTGCAAGACACATTTGATAAAGGACTATTATCTAAAATATACAAAGAACATTTAATACTCAACAATAAGAAAACAATCCAATGTAAAAATGAGCCAGATACCTTAATAGACATCTGAACAAATAAGATATATAAATGGTGTATCAGTGTATGAAAAGATATGCCATTTCATAGTCATCAGGAAAATGCAGATTAAAGCAATATTGTGATACCAATATATATTCCATTTGAATGACCAAAACCCAGAACACTGACAACACCAACTTCTGGCAAGGATGTAGAGTAACAGGAGCTTGCATTTACTGCTGGTAGTAATATAAGAAAAGTACAGCCATGTTGCAAGACAGTTGGGCAGACTTTTTATAAAACTAAACGCACTTTTAACATTGGATCCAGCAATCACATTCCTTAGTAAAATGTATCCACACAAAAATCTGCACATGAATGTTTATAGCAACCTTATTCATAATTGGAAGGAGTCAAGATGTCCTTCAGTTGGTTCATGGATTAATAAACTGTAGTATATAGCCAGGCAATAAATGTATTCAATACTGATAAAAGATAACTCAAGCTGTAACAAAATTTTTTAAAGAGTTAATTTGAGCACACAATGATTCATGAATTGAACAGCTCCAGAATGAGAAACATAAGGTAAAGATTTTATAGCACAAATATGGCAGTAAAACAGAGAAAATATTTTACTGGTTCCAGCTATACAATAGCCTTATTTGGTCTATTCTGCTGGGAGCTCCTGGTTATAAATTATTCGGTGGTTTCTCAATGGTTGAACTTAAGTTTTATTTTTCTTTATATAGGCATTTACAAGAAATAACCAAGTGAAATTTCACCTAAGTTTGTAAAACAATCAAATTCAAGGTTATTTGTGAAGTCTAATGGGTTTTTTATCTGCTTAGGTATTCTTCAAGCCTGGTCTCTGTTCTAACTTACTTTAGCAACAACCAAAGGAAATGATCTATCAAGCCATGAAAAGACATGGAAGAAACAAGTTTCCAAAGTGAGAGATGCTAATGTGAAAAGTCTATGCTCTGCGTGATTCTAACTATGTGACATTTTGGAAAAGACAAAACTGTATTTGGAAGAAGTTGGGAGAGAGAAGAGGTAAATAGAGCACAAAGAATTTTCAGGATGTGAAAATGGTCTATGATGTCATAATGGTGAACACATACTATCATACTGTTTATAAGCCCATAAAATGTTCAACATCAAGAGTAAATGCTAAACTATGGAATTTGTGTGATAATGATATGTCAGTGTAGGTTCACCAATTGTAACAAGTTGTACTGCTCTGGTAGGGGGTGTTATTGACAATGGGACAGCCATGTGTTGGGACAGAGGAGCTAAGGAATATGCATCCCTCCCCCATTCTTATCCCTAATGTGATGGTTTTAGGAGGTGTGCCCTTCGGAAGGTGATTAAGTCATGAGGGTGGAACTCTCATGAACCAGCTTAATTCCCCCTACAAGAGACTCCAGAGGACAACTTTACTGCTTCTGCTTTCTGAAGATACAGTAAAATGACGCCTGTCAATGGACCAGAAATCAGGCCCTCATCAAACAGCAAATTTGCCAGTGAATTGATCTTGGACTTCCCAGTTTACAGAACTGTGAGAAAAAGTTTGGTTGTTTATGAGCCACTCAGACAATAGTACTTTTTTATAATTCTAAAAACACTAAGTCTTCATTTCAAATCAAAATTTAAAACTGAGGTTATATTTTTGTTAACAAGGGATTGGATTTGTTACCTGTCCTCAAATTAGAAGAGCACTTAAAGGTCATCTGTGACTGTAAATTACTTTCGACCCGCTTACTATTTTACTCTTGAGTTCCTTCAGTACCCTTGGATGAGTGCCCTCCACTTCCAGTTATTTATTTGCATCTACTTTATCATTAGGTTTAGAACATACTGTGCTTTTGCCACTATTTGTTCTAGTACCTCTGACCCTTCAGCTTCAAGTTGGAATTTGGGAGGGAAATCTCAGCATCTTCCCTAGCAAAGAAGGATGTACAAACTGATAGGGCCTCTGCTTTTTTAGACTCATTCCTACAGACCTCTTTTAGGGTAAGGCATTTGACCACATCCATATGGAGTAACTGGGTTCATGTCCTGGCTTCACTCAGGCTCCAGCTTCCTGCTAATTTACACTCTGGGAGACAACAAATGATAGCCCCAGTACTTGAATCCCTACCGCCCATGTGGGAGATGTGAATGCAATTCTGGGTTCTCGGACTCAGCCTGCTCTAACCTCAGCTATTTCAGTAGCTGTTTCTGTCTCTGTCACCCTTCAAATAAACAAATAAATGACAAACAAACGACAAAATATTTTTTAAAAAATACCTTTTTCATACTCTGGTTTCTCTTCGAAAAATACCTCTTTCACTGATTAAGCTCCAACAGAGCTGAGAAGGAGTGTTTTCTCTGTTCTTTCCCACCAAAATCCCAAC